AGCAGCAGACTGGCACTCTTGGTGACTTGGTTGCTCCTCACACTTTGCCCAACAGTGGCAAAACTGAATTATAATTTATTTTCATTGCTTTTATATGGAAGTTTAATAGTGACTAAGCGATCAATTCTAATGGCAGCTAATGGAAAAAGCATGGTAAAAGTTTCAGGGGAAAAAACCTGCACCAAAATCACATTTTTACAAGGCTCCTGGGATGAGCTCTGCTCTCTCCTAGGACCCAGAGGAACTGGGTTTCCCAGCTAACCAGTGGTCATCATGTTTAGTGAGTCAGAGCAGCGCCCTGGGGCTGACAGCCCTTCTCTTCCCATGTTGTCTGCCAAAGAAAAGGTGAAAATGCTTTTTCTACGCTGTTGATCAGTGTTAGAATACCAACTTCTCCAGTCTTAACCTTCCCAGAACAAATTCAAATTAACATGTCTTAGAGCTGAGCTTTGGGGGCTTATTTTGGTGTTGTAGTTTAAATCTGTTGTGTTAAAAGTAATTTTTTGAGTTAGTAGTTTTCCTCTACTGTTGCCTTTGTTTCCCCATCTGAGTACAGAAACTGAGATTTTCTTTCATTTAAAGTTCTCTTAAGTCTGGGCATGAGACACACAGTGGTAGAAACATCAAATGTCTGGGTTTTTTACCTAGAAAAGGTGTTTATGTAACCCACAGCTTTTAAATAGCTTAACAAATCCAATACCTGATGTGACTGTGACCATGCATGCAAAGTTTGAACTCATACAGGGAGAAAAAGATAAATAAAGCCCTCTGTAAATGGAAGTGCTTTCCCATCTTAACTGGACAGTGTTATCATCAATCACTAAAACCTTTTTCCTATACAAGCTCACTTTTTTTTCCATACCCAGTTGGCTCAGTGATATTGTAATTTCAGCATTTATAGCCTTCCATGATTTTCTTTGTTGCTGCCTGTTAGGATATTGCAGTAGTGACAACAGGGAGTGAATGAAACAGGTATAACTAGGTTAGTTCTTTATACTAATTTAAAGTCTTCTGTCAGGGAAGTGAAGAAATCATATAATTAAAGTTATTTATAATGTGACTTGACAAAAAAAAAGAGAAAAGAGGTGACAATATAATACAGTAAGTGTTTTTCTTCTCTAATTTCTATTGCTGTATTTGAACTGTCCCTTGTACTAGTTTGTTTTTGGGTTTTTTTTTTTGCAGTTTAGAGGCCAGTTTAGGAACAAAACTGATTTTATTTCATGTAAAAGAGGAGGGGGTGAATATGTCTGTGTATTTTTTTATATATATAGATAAATACATAATATAAATATATAAGCATCCATTACTGTGATGCTCTGGCAATGATATTTCACACTAGCATTTACTACCAGTCCTCAAATAATTTTTCTTCCTTTTTTTTTTTTTTTTTTTTAAAGGGCTCATGTCAACTGCAAGTTCAAAGTTTGGTAGAGCACACAAATTCATTAGCAAAGAGGTCAGGTGTGCAAAAACCTTGACATTTCAAAATGAGTCCTGACCTGGCTTCTGAAATGGTTAAAACAAGATATTTTGGGTAGATGTTTACTTCCCCACTTTTGCTTTAAGCCAGATAGTCATCAATTATTTTGTAAGTCGAGGATGAATTTCTGGTGTAGTTTTTTCCAATATTCTCTTTCATGATTGTGATTAAGAAGCCTTCTACTCTTGTGTTATTTTCTGTCATTTGAGCTCAATAGCTTTCTGCTTTTTGATACATGAAAATAATTAAATGATGATTGGATAAATAACGCATCTGAAAACAGCAGAACTGGATAAATAACAGATGAACATTACCCTGCTACTGTAATGAGATTGAAAAATATTTTTCCATCTGGGTAAGGTCGTGAGCTGAAGTTATCTTTTTAGCCCTTTTCTCAGGAAAGAGAAATCTCGTTATGCAGAATGAAACTGGAATAGTGACAGGAAAAAAAATGCAGTTGCTCTTTGCACCTTTTTGGTAGCAGAAACAAGAAGAAAATTAGGGAGTAACAGAAACAAACCTGTCTTGGTCTTGGAGTAATTCTTAGCACTGATGGTGTACGAGAGGAGACTCATGGGCTGTGAGACCAAAATCTAGCACAGTGCTGATAAGATGTTGTAACAAACAGCAAAAAAAGCCACCAGTACTGCTGTGTTCATATTTCTCTGTCAGATGGAGAGGCTGCTACATGCATCTCCCAGAGCAGCAGTTTAGTAAATGCTCTGAATTGGGTTTTGAATCTCTCATCCCTGCCTCTCTAGGGAAATGAGTTAAGGTTGTGAAGAGGAACCATGCAAATAATCTTTTTCTCAGGAAAAAGTAGCTTAATTCAAGCCAGTATTGAAAAAGAGATAAAATAGGGCTTAGGCTGTTATCATATGCAGAGTTATTGGAGGTAGTAGTCTGTATATTGATGGCAATTTAGTCTGAAAATAGTGTTTATTAACTCAAATATGTTAGACTTGAAAAATTAGGCAATATGAAGATAAGAGATGTTCTACCCTGGATGATGATGTCAAGCTTCGTAAATGCCAAAAATGCAGATGGAAAGACCACGGGAAAAATCCATGGGAACAGACAGCACACCAGGCAGGGCAAGGCTGGAGAGACAGGAGCCAGGAGAACACCAAGAGAAGAGACCTATAGAGAGACATAATTGGCTTGCTCTTTCTAAAAAAAAAACCAAAAAACCCAACAAAACAAAGGCAGAAAGATAATACAGAATTAAAATTCTGAATTAAGATACTACTTTCTCCCTTGAGATCTGCGAAGTAAAATTAACATCTGTTTCTCCCTCGAGTATGAAGGTCGATTATAGATCTTTACTGAGATGGTAGAGTTTGGTAGACACAATCTTAATCTGAAGTACATGATAAGAGTATGTATAATTTTCACAGTTGATAAATTGCGGGTTTTTGTGTGGTAGTTTGGGGTTTTTTTTGCAAAACTTTTCTTCTTCTATAAGATAAAGTGTCTACATCACCATAGGTGCTGCAGAACTATTGTCTTTTTTTCTGATTTAATGAGTTTTATTTGCCTTTAGGATGACTTAAGAGTAGGCATATTTGAATTAGAACAATAATACCATAGTGGTATCAGTGAACAGAAGTATTAGTATGGCACCCAAAGCTATGAAGTTTATTTTCTGATGATGCCATTTTCCACATATACAGTAAATAAACCACAATTTAAACATTAAATTTACTTTGGAGCAATATTTACTAAAATAAAATCTGTATATTTTGCAGTAGCTACCTCACTTGCTGCTGAAATGCAGCTGTTCCTGGGGATGTGCCATAGCTCTGCAAATACCCTGGAACAGTTTAGAATAAGTTTGAGAATAACTTCCTGTAGTGACATAAGTAGAATGAAAATACCAAAGTACACAAGGATACCTTGGTTTGTCCAAAGTACCCTGAAGAGTAATCATAGGGGATTGATGTACTGTGTCCTCCAGAAAACTATATCAGAGCATTGTTTAGACAGTGCTTTTTATTTATTTAAAACTATTTCATTTTGGTTTAGAGAGTGTGTGTGTGTGTGTGCATGTGTCACAGTTTAAAAAGCACTCAAAAGGCCTGACCATGCCTTGGTGATGTCCATCTGAAGCACATAATGAACAGTAGTAATGAAATCTGTCCTCACTCAAAAAAATATGTAGGAGAGGATATTATATTACTTCTCTCCCACTTCAGAAGGTGTTTCCTTCAGATAATATACAATAGCGCTTTTTTCCTGTATACTTTTTATAAATTTTGTTTAAAAATTTAATTTCTAATTCTCTGAGAGTTGGTAGTATCCGTTTCCTTTTATTGTAGTCTAACTTGTTAATTTGATAAAGACTCTGTTGGCATTTCTTTTGCATATTTTGTTCCTTTGTGTGCTTTAAAAAACTCCTGCTACACTGTATGTTATTCAGCCATTTGTGGCTTGAAACACTGCCTAAATGCTGGCTTATGTTTCCCCATTTTCAGGCCATAGCTTTTTATGTCTGACAACTCAAGTCTTGCAGCAGTAACACTGAGTTCCTGCTATGGTTAGAAAAACACCACCCATTTGAAAATATCATCTGCCACCATTTCATTGCACAATGAATAGATCTACTTTGGAAGGTTGCAATGTCTTGTTTGACTCTCTAGCTATTCTTGAGACATGAAATTTTTATATAAATTCAAAAATACTGTTGCCTTTCATGGCTAATCACCTTTTGGAAAAGTCAAAGTGGAAGATTTCTGGCTGACTTCCATGTGTAGGAGAGCCTTCAGAAAGTCCTTTCTGTATGTGCCCACTGTACTAATATTAAGCCAAACTTCGCAGAGACTTCACTGCTTGGAAGTACTATCTCTGTTCTGTCACCAGCCTTATCTGTTAAATCCCAATGAGTGTGAAAAACAAGAAAAATCTGGGTTTGCTTGGCTGTTTCAACAGTATGTTGAGAATGACCAGATTGCTGGAGAAGACGATTCTCTTGGAAACCCTAACAGCCCGGCCTCCTCATCTGTAGGCACATAGAGCTCATCTGAGTGTGTAAATAAAAATAAATAATGCAGTGAAAAAATATGCAGAGTATTTTGCTGAACTGTTTCAATTTTGGATCTGCCGTAACTAATTTAAATCTTCTGTTGGAATTTATGCATGCAAGGGGTCAGGTTTAAGATGTTTGTAATTTAAAACTTTTCTGCTACTACACCTTTTCTGCGTTTATATCCTATCATGGTGCCTTTTTACTGCAAAGAAAGTCCCTTTTATTCCCTTTTCCTTTCTTGCTTTGAAGAGAACATTTGCTTCTCCATTTATATGAGGTAATGAGACCAGAGTAGCTCGGGATTCTTTAAATCAATCTAATTGGACTTCTTTTAGCATATAGAATACCCTTTTTTTTGCACAGTACTTTCATTTCTTTGTTCAGTTGCTCCATCTCCAGCACTCAATATCTCACATGGCTTTTTAATTAAAAACCCCCAAAAAAGGGCAAGCAATTGTCATCCAGATGGCTGTGGTCTATTCTCTCTTCCAGGCTGATTCACGGAGGGCAGCTGTTAAATGGCTTGGCGGGGCCAACCGTGATGAATGCAGCACCGTTTCTCTCCACAACGTGGTTTTCTCCGGACGAACGTGCCACAGCGACAGCCATCGCCTCGCTGCTCAATTACCTGGGCTCTGCTGGCGCCTTCCTGGTGGGGCCTCTGGTGGTGCCATCTCCTAATGGGACAGCTCACCTCCTGCTGGCATCGCAGAGCAGCACCGAGCACATCAAGGACCGCATCGAGGCTGTGCTGTATGCAGGTGTGGCTTAAAAATTAACATTAAAAAAAAAAATCAGAAAAAAAAATATAAAAAATATGCATGCTTGCTTTCGTGCGTGTTTGGTGCTTGTGAACCAGTACCCTCTAGTGGCTGGTCTGCACAGGAACCAGTTTCTGACTGAGGGAAAATAATTAAGCAGTAAAGTATTGTACCATCAGAAGGGTTATTTTTTTCCCCTTTTGTGTAGGAAAGATTTAAAAATAGCGTATTATACAGGCTGACTCCGGAGGAGGTAATTCAGTTGTTTATATCTGCTGATTTTGGGAGAAATGTCTCATAAGAGAGCTTACACTTTCCCTGAGGTCCCAAACTGGTTTTTGCATGTTGAATTTTCATTAAAAAAATGTGTCCATGACATGTTGGGTTTTTTTCTATTGTGTCTGTAAGGATGGAAATCCAGTAGTCTTTTAGCATTAAATTCTTCCCTGCACTAAATCAGCTGTAATTTATGATTTGCATGTGCCTTTCAAATGGGATTAGACTATTAGTATTTAGGAATGTAACATTGAAATTAAAATGCAATAGATTTTATTTTTAACTAAAACCACATAATTCATATTGGTGAGCAATTTCAATGAAGTGGCAACAGTTCAGTGGAAAAAACCACTGATATAAAATTCACCTGATATAACTTGGATTTTATGTCCTTGCTCTTTTTCTTGCAATGGCTTCTCCAGCTCTTTGTGTCACTTACAAAACTCAGCAGCAAACTTTAAGGAAAATGAATTGGTTAAGTGGCTTAGGAGCCTATGTTCTGATTCTTAGTGGATATAAATTGGTATAGCATTCAGAGCAGATCAGCTCTTTACCATGTCATGATGGTTGCACATTTGATTGGGGTTTTCCCCCCTTATAATTGCAACCTCTGAAATTCAGCCAGGAGCTAGCCCTAAGTGTTCCAGAAATCCTGAAGTATGTATACTCTGTAGTTTATATGGAGGTTTATGGGATTGAGTTAGCTGTTTGCGATCACTTATTCCTGGACGTTATTCTTGCAGAAATTTTGTCAAGTTGATATTCCTGTTGTGAGAGGGTCGCTTTACTGTTCATTTTAAAGAAAGTGTAACAGAAGTTGAATCACTATTTCACCTAGTATTTTTGAGTAACCTACTTTTTACTGGACTCAGATGGAACAACAGTTAAATTTGCATTTGGTTAAACCTTTTTCACAAGTAAATTTAATGTGAAAGAAGGAAAAATAAAAGCAAGCCAGGTTTTGTCCTGAGGAGCAGTAGATAAGGGGAGGAAAACTCTAGCAGTTAGAGAAGTGCTTTAGCTCTCCCTCCTCAGATTTTCTATGGAGCGAGAAGAATTCATCTGCCCAAATGAAGTACTGTTTTGCACTTGAAACCACTGGTTTGAGTCTGATAGCACTAGAAGTATTGCTTTCAGCAGCCCATTAGATTCACATTCTCTTACATTCTCTTTAGGGAGATTTTCCTAAGCATTTTCTTCAGAAACAGGGATGGATCTTGCCACCAAGGTTGGATGTGTCTTGCCCGCTCCATGTCTTCGCATGGCTCTTTATGCCTGTCTGAGCTGACAAGGAGTTTGGGAACAACCCATAGAACTGTTTGGAATCTCTGGTCGCAGCATGAGATGATTCTACAGCAGCTCTTCATCTTCCTAGGAAATGTGTTTTGTGGGGCATCTGCATTTCTCACTTAGTATCTGAAAGTGCTTTGAACAGAAATGTGCTTGTGTTTGTCCCATGGGGTGCATCTTTTCAGGAGCTGTTCAGGCAATGATAGAGAGCTGATTTGTTAATGGTACTGGCCTGCAATGAATCACAGTGATGATGGCAAAACCTCCAACTGGTTTAAAATTGGCAAGAGCTGTCAAAGAGGAGGTTGTTTGGAATCCCTCGTGGGCTTTCTCCTGTCTCACTTCAGCACTGTTTCCCTGGAGAGCCGAAGGCACAAGGTCCCTGCTGGCTGCCTCCCCTGTGCTCCCTTGTGCCAGGGGGCTCCAGAGGTAGAAGGATGGTTTCCTCATGGTGGGCAACTGCCTTGTGGTAATGTATAGGCAGTTCTGTTCACTGTGGGCCAAAAAATATCTGGTAGGTGTGGTAGGGTACTATTTGTCCCTTAAATCAGCTGGGCAGAAAACTTGGCTCAAATCGACTTCCAAGATTACTAGCAAAGGTTCTGGAGAATGTAGCACAACAAGGAGCTGACCCAAATATCCCACTTCTTTAGCAAGTGTGGCCAGGCTTGGTATGACTTCTCATTTTGGATACTATGGGAAAGCCAGTTTCACAGGATAAGCACTGCATTCCTAAAGGAGTTGTGTTTATGATGGAGCTTGTTGTCTTTGTGTGAGGTAGCATTAGATAAGCAGCCTTCAAAAGTTAGATGATGTCTTTTAAAGGCAGTAATGGTGTGAATTGTTAAGTTGGGATCAGTAGTGTGCCAAGAGTGTGCAAATTTTCCAAGGACTTAACCTCAAACATGATTACGAAGCAATTGCTTATAAACCCATTCTGAAACTGCTCTGTTAACTCCAGTCTCTTCTGTGTTTTAATAAATTGCTGTTCCTTTATCTCAAATGCGGACTAAGAGCTCAGTTGAATTACCACAGCCTCTTTCTGTGTCATCTGTGTCGCTGCACATTCTGGTTCACAGCTCAAATAGTACAGATGTAGCAAATCAGGATTGAATTGTATTACCTGAATCGCACAAGGAAGCTTAAATTATTCTGGACTGCAGCCAGGGCTTTTAGCCTTGTGCTTTCCTAAATAACAGTATAAAATCATTATTTGTTAAAAAAAAATAAAATAAAATGTGTGTGTGTGTGTAAAAGGCCCTCATTCCCCCTTTACATTATAAGACAAGGTGGGGAGAAAGGTTTCTTGATTTGGGTAGGTTATTTTGTGCTATGAGTAGCCTATCTGAAGGAAAAAGATATTGTATCAAGGAGGCTTGTGTCTCTGTTAAACCTCTTTTTTTCTTCTTTTCTCTTTGGGGTTTACACAAGCAAACAGCAGGATGCCTACTTCCTAGGCTAAGATGCAGGCATCTGTCCACTTCAGCAGTCTCAAGTCACTGTGGTGTGTTACCCAGCTTTTGTGAAGCATTCCAGGTTCGCTCCTCAACAAGAGATATGCAGCTGTGTTTCTGCACACTAATTTATGCCTTGCCCAATTCTGAGTACATTGCTGCATCCACTGTGCTCTTGAGAAGCTGACTGCTCCTGTGGAGGAGCTTTAAGTCAAGTTTTAGATTGTATTTTTCTTTATCTGGTCTGGAAGAGTAAATGATGAGGGAGATAAAGGTATGGGTTTACAAATGAGGAAGGAATTAATCACGTAAGAAATTGGATGTGTTTGGCTGTACCTGGACTTCTGATGTAGGTGTGATATGCAAACCTAAGATGGTACTAAAGACTTCTATTCTTCAATAAAGGGACCTGCTTTAGTTTCCAAAGGGCAGTCTGCACTTTCCTTTTGTGCATGAGGGCAAAGCTAGCTAGGCAAATCTGTTAGCCTGGAAGGTGTAACACTGCGAAACATTGCACAGTTGCAAGGAGGTACTACAAGGACAGCATGCTGAATTTAATAATTAAAGAAAAAACCAAACCAGTAAGTGTTACTATACTGCTTCTGCTGCAGCGATTTGACTGCAGAAATCATGAGGCAACACATAGATGAGGCCTCAGATGGGCACCTGTTATAAAATATTGCTATGACTTAAAAAAATTATCATCATTTGTGTTCTTCGGAAAAAGATCTGGCCTTTTTCCTTATAGCACTGCAGTATAACACAGTTAAATAATGAGTACCTTGAACAAAATTTACAAGTTTGTATGATCGCATTCTTGTTGGCTATACCTGTCTGCTGTCTGAAATCTTCCTTTAATATGTGGTTAAAATGCGTGTATGCATGTATAAACCTGTATGCAGACCTAGAATCAGGAGAGGCAGATAAACATCTTTTACTAAAGAGCTGCGTAGTGACAAAGCATCTCATCCCTTTTTCTTAGTTCGGGGATGATCAGTTATGGACAATTCTTTATTCACTGCTCATGGTTTCAGAAACAATGTACGCAGAGATAGAAATTAATCTGTTTTCCAGAGAGCAGAGGAGATAGAGTGAGGTCTAGTAAAGTGCCCTTGGCCCTCAAAACGTGCTGTTAGACTACAGCAGGAAAAGACACACCACATGATTCAAAATGAATCTTTTAGTATTTGATCATGAAGAATGGCATTGTCACATTCCCAGTATGCTTTCAAAGGAAATTTAGTGTAGACTTTTTACCCGTATACTGAATAGAAGCATTCGTTTCCTTTCCCCATCTCCAGCTGATCAGTTTATTTATTTTTCAGTTCCCTGAATTTATTTTCTTCTGGTTTAGCAGAAGACCTGGCAAAGTGCCATGTTCATATTGATTTATTAAAAAAGAGAAGAAAAAAGAAAATGAACGCAATTGATATCCAGCTCTGCTGGAATTTATTTGTGGTGTCGGTGAACACTTCTTTGTTATAAGATCACAGATTCTTTTAAGATAACACACTTCAGCCATACATTTTTCTCTCCAGCAGCAAAGAATATTGTTTTCAAAGGGGATGGGAGAAATATTGAGATTGAGGACTGTGGAGAACATGATATACATTGTAAAATGCCTGTAAAACACATTAATTAGACTGACTGTGGGTAGAGTTGTTTTTCCTCAGAATGCCTGGTCATGGCACTTACTGAGTATTTTCTGTGAAGTGCTCATCACTTTTCAAGCTCACTTCTGCTATGAAATTTTTCAAAGATTTAGAATACCTGCTGCTGAACAAGAGGAACATCTGCAAACAGCTGTATTCTTTCATTTTTTTCCCTTACCTGGACTTTTTCTATTCTTGAGCCATGGCTGCTCCTGCACTTTTCTCTTTGTTTTCTGTTGCCATGTAAAACTGTTTGTGTCCAAACTGCTGCCTTGCTTGACCTTTCATTTGCCTTCATCATCTTGTGCAATGAGTAATTGTCATTCCATGCCCTGGGGCTTGCCCAATCCCATCTGTTTGAAGTCTCTAGCCTGCTGATACCTGCACTGCATTACTTCCATCGTGAGGAAATGTGCCCAAATCTTCATAATGCAGTTCTCTCTAAAGAGAAAAAGCAACAGTTTCCTTTTGCTTCACTGAGTTCCCCATGTGTGAGCCTGGTTCTCTGCAGCTCCTAACGCTGGCATGGGCTGCCAGTCTCATTGATTCTCCATCTCAATTTGAAATTTTGTTTGAGGAGGGAAAAAAAGAAATTCTTCGAGTGACAGTGCTCTGTTGTCAGGAGCATTAAGGCACTTGTGGTGGGATTTATGTCTTGGAGGCTGGCTGATAACAGCAGTGTACCAAAATAAGTCTGTCGACGCTAACATCTGTTCTTGGTTTTGTTTTTCTTTGCCCTCTTGCTTAGAATTTGGAATGGTTTCCCTGATATTTTCCGCAGCCTTGGCCTACTTCCCCTCGCGCCCTCCATTCCCTCCCAGCGTGGCTGCGGCGAGTCAACGGCTCAGCTACAGGAGAAGTTTTTGCAGACTCTTAAGGTAGGACCTCACTGGGTTTCCACTTCAGAGCAGATCAGCACCTAAATAAATAAAAACAAGTGTGCTTTAATCTTCTCATGGAGCAAACAAGTTGGTTTGTAGTGCTTTTAAACAAAATAAAATTAAATATTCATGTTGAGACATAAAAGGATGCTAACTGCTGAAAAGCAGACATTAAATTTTAAATCACTGGATATATCTCAAGCCTTCATGCCAGAGTCCTTCAGCACCAACAGTGTTTTAGTCATCCTGTTATCACAGCTTTTTTTATAAAATGCTTCTGTTACATCAGGTTATACAAGGTTGTTAACAGTGTGCTGTGAGATAACAATTAGCAACACTGGGCAAAACTAACTAATAAGCTGCTTTCTTCTATGCTTATTATATGGGAATGAATTTGGAGTTTACTTGTCATTCGAAGAATTATTCAGCCATGGGAGCAATGAACGAACTATCTGAAACCATGATGTGATCAATTAAATCTCATTAAATGCATGTTGAAATATGGAGTGGGAATAGGAAAAATGTCTCCAGATGTGTTTCTGGACAGGTTCAAAGACTAGTTAGGTTCCTTTAAGTTCTTGGGTTTAAGAAAAGAAAAAAGTTACAAAGAAAATGACAGCTTTGCAGCTTTTCCCACTTGGGTTCTTTTGGTAATACACAGACCTACTTCCCCCCAGTGTTTGTAAATGTCTTATGTAATGGAAATACCATATCAAAGGAACAGCTAACACAACTGTAATATTAATAGTAGATAATTGTGAATGCCTGTACCCTGTACATGATACTGCAGAGATGAACTTCCTGGGGCAAAGAACTGCTCCCATGGTACAAAGTGTGACTGACTTCACAGGGGGGCTTCAGATTCTTGTTGTAATTGTTTGTTGAGTGATGCAGGGATAGAAGCTGAATCTGCATATAAAGGACTGCTTGCAACTTGATGGTAGTGGAGCATTAGACATTCAATTATTACAGACCTATTGTGGGCCGTACTTTCAATAAGTGTATTTAGAAGCAGAGAAAACAACTCATCCCTAGTTATCATTGGTTTTGGTTTTTTTTTCCTTTTGTTTTTTGAGCTTTTTATTTTGTTTGGGGGAGTAAATAGTTGGCGAGGCGCTTAATACTTAATGTTCATCCTGGAGCATGCTGGCAGTCGGGAGAAGGTGTGAGTACAGCTGACTGGTTAAGTCTGCAAACTGACCTACTCAGGATATTAAAAAATAGCAGTTCCCCTAAGGACACTTAGCACATACAGTAATGCTCTTACTCACCCAAGCTGATGTGCAGTTGGACCCTGCCTGAGGGCTGCGTTGTAAAAATGTTGCCATTTAACAGAAATCCAAACAGCAGCTGGCTCTGCAGGTGAAATATAAAATTTCTGTTGACAGTGCTCCATTTGGGAGCTTTTTAACTAGTGGATTCAATGTTAAAAGGGTTGTAAACAGGGGACCTGAGACAGTGGTAAGGTCAGGATATAAACAGCAAAGGTGGCTTACTATTCACAACCAGTGAAACTTAAGAAAACAAATTGAATCCTTAAATAATGAATGTAGTTTATAGTGTCTCCAAGAACCAAGAGGGTTTTTTTTTAAGCATGGACAGGTAGATAATTATATCTTCCGTCCTTCTGATCTTTTTGCATTCTTCCATGCTGCCCTTTATCAAAGACACTTCTTCATTCCTCTGTACATGAAATAATCAACAGTTCATCATTAAACCCGCTTATCTTGAGGAGCCTTTCAGCAACAATCCATCAAAGCAATGGGGTTTTATAAAAGAAAATGGTGTCTGCCATGCTTCAGGAGAAGTCCATCATCTGGCTCATTAGGCTTCTATGCTCTGTTGCCTGCCTAATCTAGGCTTCCTAATTCTTGGCTCAGAGAGCCTTTCTTTTGGCTTAGTGGTATAGACTGAAGATAACCAGCAGATGAGTACTAAGAAATCATGATTTCCCCTTATTGTAGACTTACCCTCTGGTATAAGAAGTGTGTGTAAGGCATTTGGGATATGTGTGAGCTGGTGGGCTGACTCAACTATGCACCAAAAACACTCATGAGAATTGAAATGTTCATCATTTCCCTCTTCTTTCCCCCAGGCTGCAGTTTTATTAGTTCAAAATAAAGCAGCATAGCATAATGTTACCATTGAAGTCATTGACCTTTTTTACCTTGGACACCAAAGGGATCTATCACATCCTTTCAGATCCCACACTCCTTCATGCCTTCAGGTCCTTAGGCAGTCATCTACACAGGCTGCTTCTTGCAGAGTTTTATTATACCATCAACAGAGGTCAACCATCCCCTGTAGGCCATTTTTGGGGACTTTCTTAGGAAACTTGATTCTTCCTTCTGATTTGGAGGATTCCTGCTTCTGACAATTATAACAATTAGCTGATCTCTGATTATCTTCTGATACCAACTCTCTCAGCCTGCAGTGGGAGACGACAGATTAGTCATGGTTTGGGAGCTAAGCCCAAATCTTTCAACAGTCTATCACATGCTGTGACAAGTGTAGTTTGAATCTCTGTTAGAAAAAGTGCAGTGCCCTTTTCCAGTTTCTTGGATGAAGCAAATACAACTTTTTTTTTCCCCTAGTTCAGAATATGCCACAAACTACAATGAAAAAATCCTAATACAAGAAAATAGTTGATAAATCTTAAAATCTGCATTAAGAAAACTTGTGATTTTTGCTTTGAAGTAATTAGATACTTTTAGCCAGTTATGTGCCTTTTATATTTTCAAGGAACTATGTAAGCAATTTTGAAATTTTTTAATAGGGTTTTTATGCATCATTGTTGCTTTAGTGAAACTTTCATCAACATCACCATCCAGTAATGGAAGCTGCTCAGAGTGTGCCTGATGTTAATAGGCACTGTCAAAGTTATTCTGAAAATGATGACTGACTTTGATGGGGCTCCCCTCTGAACCAGTCTGTCTTACAGATTCTGGTAGCATTAGATAGGATTCTGAAAAAAAAAATAGGAGAAAAAATCAATTTGTATTCCAGCAGAATGGTTTAAGAGAGGGTAATGCTGATGTCCCGTCATCACTGATAGGGTGGAAAACAGTGTGGGTTCACCAGCTGATGGTGTGACAGACAGCACATTTTTCTATTTTCAGTGGAGTAATTGCAAAATTGCAAAAACAAATACCAGTGACTGGAGCCATGAAAAGCAGAGCTGCTGCTGCTGAAGATGTGTTTCAAACAGCTTTAGCACTTAATGTAGGCAGCACTAGCTGTTGTTGGACAAGGGGGCAGAATCTGGGGACATCTGGGGATAGGGGCCGCTTTGTCACTGTCATGCACCCTTTCTCCTGGTCACCTTCCTCCTGCTGGAGACCAGGCAGAGTGGCAGCCTCTGTCACTGGAGGATGTCATGGTGCAGAGCTGGTTCTCTGGCATTGGTACTAGGAGCTGGGTGTGGCACAGGGCAGCTATCCCACATGACAGTCTGTCTTGTTGCTTGAGTTACAGACAAAAAATACACCGTGGGAAATTTTGGTCAAGTACTTTACAAAGTCCTCACTTCCTCAAAAGTAACTCTTTAATGAAGCTGAGGTTCAGATAGCCAAATATTTTGAATGTTCAGCAAGTGTTATATTGGAAGACTGCATTCTGACTTGTTCCCTCTTTGCAATCTACAACATGGCTATTAATGTCCATGCAAAATTCCTCATTTTATTTTACAGATGTTGAATTGGCTCTCACATGGATGGTATTAAATAGCATCAAATGCCAAGATGATACAAGATAGACTAGGATAAGAATATGGCATTCTAAAGAGAGAAAAAAATGTTCTCAGGAAGACGATAGCATTCAGAGAAAAATTGCCAATGTGTAGAAGAGATGAAAGTTTGGGAGTTGTTTTTCTTTGCATTAAAAAATAAATCTGACACGAATGATATTGAAAACGGATGATATGTTCATGTGATGAAAATTCAAGAAGAGGATGTGTGAAAAAGAACAGTGCAAAAAAACACTGGCTGGTGTGCTGTGTGTGGATCTAGGGGAGTAAAACAGTGTAAGCTGCAAACCTCTGAATGTTTTGGAGAGTAATCGAATTTCTTTTTCTCCCTCTTGGCTTTCATAACTGTGTGCTATCAAATTGCCACTACATGCCAAGGAACTGGTACTGATCAGGATCAATTTTATGTAAATTGTTTGGGATTGGAGGGAGCCACATTCTGTGGTTACACAGATATACCCCATGGGATAACTGACCTTGGAATCACCATAAAATCTTTTCACTTTAAAATATCACTGTTGCAGAGTCCAAAGCATATTTTTCTGGTTTTCATCCAAAAGTGAAACATTTTTTGAGGAAAATTTGGATGTCTCTTAGCAAAGATTTCACATTAGCTTTCAGTTATGGTGAGCGGGGGAAGTTGTTGGCTTAAACCCCTGTTTAGTCGTATATGATGAAGATGGTGACACCGTTTTGTCTGTTTCACCTTCCCTGGATACTAAAGGTTGAATAATTTTAATTGGGGGGGGAGAGCAAACACGTTGACTATTTAGAGCAGAGTATTATATTATATTGTCTCTGTTTTTTGCCAGTTCAAATTGTCCAAATTTTCCACTCTTGCAACTGAACCCATCTTATTTCCAGAGCTCTCCCTGCTTTCACCAAAACAAAGAGAAATAAAACAGAGTTTCTTTTTGATTCATTTTTTTTTAAAGTTCAGTTCAAGAGGCATGAAGCTCTGATTTTATTCTTGAAATATGCTTTTCATCATTTAAATTAGTGCTTATTATTCCTAACATACACTTTGGCTAAGGAGGTTGCCCATGCCAGTGCACAGAAGAATTGCTTGCGGAAATGAGAAACACATGAGCCCAGCATGTTACAGAAATGTTTGAACCATGTGGAGAGACCGGCTTTTTCTATCATCACAGTACTAAGGCAGTAATGTATCAGCCACTGGAAATTCAGTGGCATGGCTGGATACCTTTCTTGATCTTTGTGGCTCACTCCTCTGTCAGACCTTTGCAATTTTTTTTGATGGCCAGAATACGGAAGGTGTAATTTACTGTACTGGCTAATTTTGGTGCGATTTGTAATATAATCTGCAGCTAATTGCAATGTTCTATCTTCACAGCAATTTCCGATTCTTGATGATTGCTTTAGCCTATGCTATACCACTGGGTGTTTTCTCTGGCTGGTCTGGTGTTCTGGATTTGATATTGACGCCCGTTCACGTAAGCCAAGTAAGTATCACCTGACTGATAATCAGCAACCATTTTGTAAATGGCACGTTTTTATTTTGCAGTAACATGCAGTTTTATCAGGCTTTTATGTTTAAGGAGCTGTTAATACATATGGACCCCTTTTCTCCTTGAATTTTTAAACAAAAATAAACTGTAGCTTTGGCATCCCAGACTGTCACAATTCTCCCTTCTGACTCTCCATCAGTGGCGAGTGTTTTCAGAATTGTACACACCTCTTGACAAGAAGGAAGAGGCAGGTAAACAAACGGGAGTGTTGTTGGCTGCTGCACCTTTGTGGAAAGCAAATAACGTGTGCCCGGTGGAAAAGATGAAGTAGGGAGAAGATGATTTCTAAGCTTTTGATAGAGTATTATAAAAAAACAGAGGACATTACTCAGATTCTATAAAGAGAGGTCACATTTAGGCCATAGACTACTTAGTCATACTTCCTTGTAGTGAATTTATTTCCTTTCCTAGAAAAAGCCTGGCACTTGAGATTGTTGTCAGGGGCTGTTGTTAGCGGTTTGCAGCTCCTGCACACCATTTGTTTTGAAAGTAACATTGTCTTATTTTCTCAGCTTTAACACATTTCTCTCTTTTGTTTTGTTTTGTTTTTCCTGTCAGGTAGATGCAGGCTGGATTGGATTTTGGTCTATAGTTGGAGGTTGTGTTGTTGGCATAGCAATGGCAAGGTAGGAATAATTACAGGTCCTTCTTCATTTCTCCAACTGTGATTGTCATTTAGCTTATCCTCTTAGTAACGTAACTTGTTTTCTCTCTTCTTCTGGAAACTTGAAATGGAAAATGCATTCTGGGGTTGTGATGTGTTTCTTGTAGAGCAATAATTTGTACCGGGTTAGTGGTTGTTGGGGATTGAGAATTCCACATGCATATACCTGAATTTGGCAAGTCAGACTGCTACTCCTGACAAGGGCTTCCTGTATGCTGCTTTTAAACACAGCTCTTGTGAATTCAGCTGCCTGGTATGAAGGAGAGCCTGTTGTAGCACATTTGGAAGGTATTAAAGAAATTAATGTCTGTCTCCTTCCATCAACACTTTTGGGCATACTGATTCCTGGAGGGACATAGGGAATGTAGTACAGGCAGCATAGCCACCATAATGTTATGCTCCTCCACAGAGAAATTAGTCTGGGCCCATTTCAGCCAAATTGCTGGATTCCTGTATAGCCCATTTCCTGCTGTACTCCTATGGACTACAGTACGGGTGAATCTCTGCATTTTATAAATCCAAACACAGCTCTCTCTGGCCATCATGAATGATGATGACATGGGGAGCGGAACAGCAGAGCATGGATTGCCCTCCCAAAAGGTTGCTGCTTTTTCTGCATTGAGGTTCTCTTTAGAAAAACAGGTGGGGGGAGGAAGAAAAAGTCTTTCAGGAGGTACTTGAGCAATGAGTTTGTAAAACTGTCTAAAACCAGTCACACATTCCCCTTGCACTGTGATACCTGAGCATTGTCCTGACTTCTCTGTGTCCACTGTTTAGACTCCAGTTCTGCAGTGAATTTAGCACAAGTGCAGAGATCTGTAATCATTGCAATCATTGCGGGATTATGGACACAGGGAGTGATCTTTCTAGGACGGAAATTGAAACTCTCTTTTTTTTCACTTGCTTTTTCACGTTCTTCATCAGAGTACACAATGCATAAAGAAATGTGAAGTTTCTCATCCTGAGGTTTTGCAGGCTGCCTAGCAACTGCGACAGGGAGAGGAAAAAGCTCCTGACCTAGGGAAAAGAAACTAGCGCTTCTCTCCCATCCACTCCAGATGCAGGCCAAAGGACTCCAGCCAAACAAAGTTCATGCCCTGATTTTCTTTAAAAAGAAGTACTTTTGATTAGCTAAGCTCAGATAACAAGGTCTTCTCTGTAAGAGATGTTGAAAACCAACTGCTGTAAATGACAAAGATGCCATAGGTTGCATGCTGAAGCACAGGTAGCATGCTAGTTTAAACTTTTCCATCAAGAATTAATCTCTAGTATTAATTTTCAACATTTCACTAGTAGAGGGACACTCTTAGCAGCTCACTTAACTTTTTTAGGAGAGAATCTGCTGACTCAATGCCAACATGCAAATCTCAGTCTTTATGGTAGATTAATTTATTTAATATATTGCCTGGATTAAGTTTCAGAAAATGCTGACAGGCACTTTAACTGCTTCAAACCTTTGATTTCAAACCTTGTTGAACACCCATATTTTGTAGCATTCAGTAAATTTAGGAAATACCAACAGTCTGTCTCCAAATATGTCTTTCTAACGTGGGCAATGCACAGTTCAAATGGGAGGGTTTGCATACAGAAAGGGAGGGAGGAGGTGATTTGTCACTCCTGATGGATGACTCTCCCTCCTAGGCCTATTCAGCATTTATCTGTGTAGGGTTGAATCAATGACGAGTCTGACTGTAATCTGCTGAAAGTTGTAATTAGGAAAATTAAGTAATGATTCTTGTCAAAGCTGACAAGTTGATATATTTCAGTGTCAGAACTGTGATTTGCCAAGCAAGCAGCTCTCTCCCTTAACCACCTCTTAAGAAGCTGTTAGTTTTGGGGTGGGGTTTTTTCCTTTTTTTTTTTTTCCTGCTAATTTATCAAAGCAAAATTGGCGCAGTTTGGGCATTTGCTCTTTCCATTTTTGTCAGTGCAGATTCTATTATTTAGAACTCTTAGCAACCTGAGAGCATTAGGTCCTGCACATCACAGTAGGTGTTAAATCATCTATATATAAAGTAATGCCCAGTTTTGGAATTTGTTTTTCTAATTCATTTTCAAAGTGGTGTGAGTTTTCCTCAGCATTATACATAAATCCTCCTGATCTCCACCCACTGCTGTCCTGATAGCTGTGAACTTATATGTTTAGCTAATTTGTGTGATGCATTTTTATAATTGAAAAGCCTGGCCTATTTTGGGCAGCTGACAGGTGCTGTACCCTTTGCTGGCATCTTTCAAATGCTACTGGTTTGAAGAAAAGCAGTGTCAAAGAGCGACATTTGTATCATTGCATGGAAACATAAATCTATTCCCTTTTCTCAGATTTTTAAAATATTTTTTCCCCACATTTACCAATGATCACAGGTAGTCCTGAGGTTTTGTCCTCTGCAGCTCAGTTTTTCTTCCCACTTCTAACCTGCAGTGTGGTCAAAGTGCTGAAACTTTATGGCACAGTGATAATTTCCTTAGCAACAGACAGCGTTGTCAGCAATGCAGATTTGTGATTTTAACTGTAGGATACAGCCTTGGGCTGGATCTGCTGGGATGCTGGAGACTGTTACCAGCAGTAGGCTCAGAGGTCTGTGTCTGGGTAAGTATACACCTTGTCTCCTCTTGTGCCTACTGTTTTAGCAGCTGCAGTCGTCCCTTTACATGCGAGATGATGAGGAAGGATTTAAACAAAACAGAGGGGTTTGAAAGCAGATACCCAGGTCAGAGGATAAAAATAATTTTTTAATTGAAACAAGTATTCTGAGGAGTTCACTAGATTTACAGTCTTCTTTATTCTCCTGTAACCAGACAAGAAGCAGAGGTCCCTCAATTACCAAGTTCAGGCTAGGTTGCTATGTTATTTTTTCCCATTATTTCTATTGCTGGCTGAATTCAGTAGCTGCATAAACCTTTCCCTTCGGGGGACATTTGACCCTTTTGAAGTCCTGTGCTTTTTGAGAGCTCCTTGGAGCACACTGCTACCCAAACCAGGATCATTGTGTCAAAAAGAGTTGGAGCTGCTCAGGAAAGGTAGATATTTTCTCCACTGAACTGCTGTGAATGGTTTAGATGCGTATCATCCTCCCATTTCCACATATCCCTGGTGGTAGGATAGAGATAGAGGATCCCCTAGAGATTATCTCCAGACCTGTTGTCTGTGAATGTCCCTCCCAGAAGGCTGATATTTCTCACACTATGTTTCATTAGACAGGATCTACGTCACTGACTTGCCTGTAAGGACAGGGAATAATGATGTTGTCTGCCAGCAGGCAAGACGGGGAGTCTCTGTGGAAGAAGCTGAAAGCTTACACTTCGAGGTGCTTCTGCAAAGCTTTTAAAATTGCGGATTCTGACCCTAGTGATCCCAAAGAATAATTAAAGAAACTGCCAAACCAGAGAGGTGATCCTGATTGCTGGATTGGATTGTCAGAAGAAAAGCAACAGTAGCAGCTGACCTCTGCTATTGGAGATGAATGCATAAGCCACTTCAACACTGCAGACATAAACTTTTAAGATGATATGCAGAATTGATCTCTCACTAGTGCTTATTGAATTGCTCACTGCTAAATTCAATGTGGAATTAAAGCACAGGGAGAATCAAAACAAGAGGAAAGAAGTTGGTTTGGGAGGGTGAGGGGTGTTTGATTGCATTACTCCTACATCTCTTATGGCATATGTGGAGCTGAGGGTCCTACTTTTCAAAATGTTGGTAGCATTGTCTCTTTTATCAACTAAGTTCTAAGGCATCTGCTTGTAAAGTGATCCTTGTCAGGGCAGAGAAGGCAGCTAGCTGATGGATGGACAAATTTCATCGTGGACCGACCTAGGTGGATTATGCTGCCATTAGCCTAATTAAGGTAGAAGGCTGTGAGGGTAGTTGATATGCTTTAGACTTACATACCTAACCCGTCCATCCCAAAATCACATCTCCGAAGCAGGAGATTATAGAAGATTACCTGTGAATAAATGACATGGGCTTTTCTAATATATCTTTTTTAGTAGCTAAGTTGAGGTCCCTTTTGAAAAGAGCAATTGCACTGATAATTATGCCATGCGAATGCTGCTCAAATGCATCCCCATCTCCTTGAAAGAAAAAGAAAAGAAAAAAAGAAAAAAGCAATTTTACCATCAGGTGGTATAAAATCATATTTTACTCTCTATAACAGCCAGAATACCCAAGGGCTTGTGGGGCTGTGCTACCCATACTGTCAGTGGGGTATATGTAGGAGAGGAGTGACGCCAAGCCCTTGGTTTCTGGAACATTTCAACCCAAAACAGCCACTGGCAGAGTGACCCCCTGTGTAAAAAGTTCCTCCCTTTGCCTAAGCCACCAAGAGCTTCATCACCAGCGCATCTAAGGGTTCACAAGCTGTTTCTTGTCATATTCAACTTGGGATTCTGGTATTTAGAGTTTTGTCATTTCCCATAGAAATGGATCTGGACACTTAACTACGTCTTGAATGAAGCACAGCAGCCTCCTCATATGCTAATGGAATTCTGTGTCTGCCAAGGGAGACTGGCAAACACTGACAAAGCAGCGATGGAAGTAGTGGTGTGATATTGTGTCCAACAAATGCAGAAGGAAAAAAAAGAAAAACGTTCCTCTATACCAAGTGTTTTCATTTGATGCCTTGAGAATTGTTCTGGTTTGGTTGTTATTTCCTGACAGCTAAAAAATCCGTGGCTCTTCAGCTTGACAGCTAGAAATATCACCGTTCTATAAAAACACCTTTTTTTTTTTTCTATTCCTGAAAATGAGAAACAACTTTTAGATTCTTTTTATAGCCTCCAAAAATGTTTAAGGGGAATATACTGAATTAATTGTCAAGCATCACATTTAAATAATATGAAAATCAGCATTTGTACGGCTCTGATCTGTGCTTTTTTTTTTTAGGTTTGCAGATTTTATCAGGGGCATGCTGAAGTTTATACTGCTGCTGCTTTTATCTGGAGCAACATTAGCATCAACCTGGTTTACTCTCACCTGTCTAACTAGTGTCACTCATCTGCCTTTAACCACAGGTATTGACAATGATTTTAATTCCTGTTATTTATAATTGATATTGGAGGCAAGTATGTGCAGTCTTAGCTGTCTTATAATCTGGTTTTTTATCTTTAGTAATACAGTAGTTTTATTAAGACAAAAAAAAAATATGTTTAGAAAGCCTATTGAATCAGAAATATTTTTACCAGCTTTGAATGACTTCATAACAAGGTTAAAAACTTACAAAACCCAATAATAAGAACCCAGAATACACATTCAAATTTGATTTGGGGACAAGGTGTTTTTCTTCTCTGAGTCTTTTGAAATAACTGAGGTGAGAAATAAATCAAGGAAAATCAGATGAATGGGTGTAGTGTTGCATATAAGAAACAGTGTTATGTCTGGGAGTTTAGGGGATTGAAACTTATATTAGTTATTGGAAGCACATGGTGCCTTTCATCTGTCCCTGCATAGTGCTGTCCTCTTTTTTTTGCACCTGCATGCAGGTTCAGGGAACTCTTCCAGCCCAAAATTAACTCAGCCTGTGCCTCAAAAAGACAGGAAAAAAAGCTGTTGGCAGGAGTGGGGGAAAAGCTCAGAGGTCTACTCAGGCTGCCAGAGAGCTGTACCCTTAGTTGAAAATTAGTGCTGCTTAGCTCTTAAAAATCTGTCCTTCACCTTATTATCTGCACCAAAGGACCGATCCACCTGTAATTCCAAGACCTTCAACAGAGTAGTGAGTTACAGTAAAACCTGAGCCATTGAGATTTAAAAATATATTTATTTAATTAAGAATTCCGTAAATCCATTTAAATGAAGTGCCAATATAGACAACTTATGCATTATAGCAGAAACAAAAACTTTTTCTCACCCATTCTTAATGAAAGAGTTTGGTGTGGAGAGTGTACAGAATACGATTTTACTCAAATTAATTTTCAGTGAGTGTCCTTGACGCATTGCAAATGTCACAACTATAAACTAAAGTGGGTACAGCAAATTGAAATAATGATCAGTTCAGGAGCAACACCATCTGGATGGATAGGTCCAATTTGTGCTTCATCTTGAAATTTCAATGTTTTAAAAAAAATTCTGCTTAAATAAAACAGAATTTAATCAATAAACAAATCAAATTTCTTGATGGCTGTTGTCATACCAAATGACTACACTTTTCCATCAAATCTAAAATAAATGCAATAAAAGCTTTTTTCTTGTGCTTGCCTGCTTCGTCACTACAAGCCTGCAGTAATGTAAATTTTTACAGTAACTCAATCCTCTGAATTGATGCAACAAGCCGAACACATAAATGTCTCTTCAAGTCTATGCATAAGAATGAAGTGGAAAGGTTTCAAGAGGTGAAAGTCATTACATATGTGCTCACCAGTGCTCCAAAACAAAACTGATGGAGCTCTCTCTAATTTTACTTTCTTTTTTTTCTAAAGAATTCAGCATGCAACATGGGTTCTGTAAGAATTCTTACTTATTTATAGCATGTAGATGCATTGCAGAGGTTTGTTTTTTGTTTGGTTGGTTTTTTTTTGAAAGGTGATCCACTGTCAGGACACAAAAATATGTAAGGTATTTGAGGTTGATATACAGTATCCTAAACGAGCATCCCTTGATAAAAATCTGGGGATTGGGTTCTTTTGATGCAGATGTCGTTTCTCTTAAAATGGATGATTCCTTAGATTGTTGTAATTACATTTTAGAGTTTTCTGTCAGTGCTGTTCTTATATATGTTTCTGTAAATACTGAACCCTTTTCTTTAAAACACAAGCTTGTTTTGAATAGAATTGCCAGCAATGTGGTGCATTCCTCAAGAAAAAAGGCAGTCGAAAGCATCAGAGTCTAATGTGCAAGCACTAAATAAGATCTCTTTTCTCTTATGTTTAAATTTCATAGATAGGTGATGGGGGAAGGTTCATATCAGGCTTTTCTCATTAAAGTTCATATAAAAGAGATGTAATGTGCCTGTTCAATTTAGCTTCTTGTACACAGAAAAGCAGTGGTATATCTTTATGAAATATGCTGTTATGGATGAAAACACACAAGCTATTTAAGCTAATTTATAGGCCTTCATGCTAGATTATTCCTCAGTGTAATGATGCAATATGATGATGACCTCTGCATTTGCAGTAATTGGGAGAAACGGTACATTTGAATTGATTTGGATGAACTTTTTTTTTTCTTCTCCTTTTAATTAAAAGTTTGAGATGTAGAGTGTATCAGAGTACAAACGTGGGAGGTCAAATTCAGGCCGTGGGCTGGCAGCTTTGGGAAGTGATTTGTGGTAGCTGGTAAAAGTGGAAGTCACTCTGCATCCTCAGTGAACTAATGTTGGCAGTGGACTGCCAGGTATTTACCCTCTGTGTGTTTTTGTAGAGGTGGAAGATGTGCAAAACAAAAGCAGTAGTCATTGTGGAGTTTTTTCCTCATTCTTTTTTTTTCTTTTTTCTCTCTTTTCTCTTATTTTTCCCCTCCTTGTTTTTTTCTTTTTTTCATAGTTTTCTTTCATCTCTTTAGTTTCTTTTTTTTGTTTTGTTTGGTTTGGGTTGGGTTGGGTTTTTTTTTTTGTTTTGTTTTGTTTTTGGTTTTGTTTTGGTTTTGGGTTTTTTGTGGGTTTTTTTTTCAGAAGAGGTCCATGTAATCCTTTGTATCCCAGAGATACTTTGCAGGCAGCACTGAACACCTGCTACAAATCAGGGATTGTTGTGTTACTGAGGGCAGCAGGGTTTGATGCTGATAGAAGGTTAAAAGGCTCCTCCACTTCTTCCTGCCCTGTGGCAAAGAGCACAAGTGTTGGGCTTGGCAGTGCTACAGAGCCAGTGATGGATTTCAGTCCACACTTCCAACGTCATTCAGATGCTGAGGCAGACCAAGCAGGGTTCAAAAGTGATATGGAAACTTGTGGGGGTGTACGTTTGATCTTTTCCAGCCATCTAGCTCCCATTTTGGGAGGGACTTCCTCCTCCTCTCTGGGCCTGCCTCCAGTGTTGTTCTCTTGAACAAGTCAGACTTTGCCCTACAAAACCATAAGCGTTGTTGTCTTCAGCAATACCTGGAAACTGCTAAAATCTCCATATGATCTGACAGGCTGCTGGTACCATTAAAAGGGAGCTCTTCCATGGGTCAGGAAAGGCATTTTGATGAGGAGGCAAGACACTTTATGGGAGCCCTTGTATTGGCCCAGGTGTTATGGCAGGAAGCTTCACCACAGAGATGAAGGCTGGTTGGATAACAACATCTGCCCCATCTCACCTGACAGCTACTTGATCCATGAATAAAGTTTGCATCCATAGGCAGGCCTTGATAGGAGTTTTCCCAGGTCCAGAACCAGTCCTTTCCTTTACCATGTTGATATTGGGTGATTTCCCAATACCCAGCTCATTTTCCTCTTCTGAAAACTCCCTGCCCATCTCCCACCTGGTCTCCAGAGCAAGCACTTAGGGGGATACATTTTCATGGAAGCAGACTTTTAAATGCTAAAAAGATGAGAGTTTGGCCAATTATTTGTCATAAAGGGAAAGGAAGAAAATCTCTAAAGATTTGTTTTTAAAACGCAAACAAACCAACCCTTCTCTTTTAATCGGTATTTTTTGCAGCAGTTGTAGTAATGTCTGGTTTAAACATTGGGGGAGGAAATGTATTTGAAAAAATAGTCACAGCAAAATGTATTTTCCTGACCTTGCTTGTATAATATTCTCCTAATTCCTTGTAAATAGGCACGACATCATTTAAAGATATTTCCTGCGAAATGTAATTATGTAGAATGGAGACCTTTAATGCAGATATGAAAAATCAATGACTGCATTTGAGAGCTTTTTTAAAATTATACTGCTTAGCATTGTTTGTATTGAGTAATGCCTGCATTGTTTTGCATTTGCATAATATGCTCCATTTTTCCTCCAGCCATGGAGGAAGACAAGTTTTCTGTCAGTTGTTGACTTCTTAATGTATCTCCAAAAGATTTTATAAAAAGTTTATTCAGAGTCATATACATGAACTATGACAACAAGTGTGGGGAAAAAAGAAAGCAAGGCAGTAATGATACAGTGCCATCATAGCTACTGTATCATCTGTCTAAAACACCTCTCATCAGCTAATCACAGCTCTCCAAAATCCTTGATTCTGGAATTGGTTTATATTTTAAGCAAGCCTGAATTTTTATTTTAAGAAATTTTAATTTTAATGTATATTATTTGCATTTCAGTTTCAAAGACAATTTTGTGTACACATCAAGCATTAAAGTAGTTTTCTCCATTGAAGTCCCAGCACAGCTGCTGATCTGTTTCTCTGTGCCAAGTTCATTGTTAGTTTGCTTTGTACTGAACTTCATTATGTGAATTTATGTACAATGGGATACTTCGACCCAAAATAATTGTGTAAGGCATTGTCATGCCAGCTTCAGTATCTTGCCACTTTGTATTGCTGGTAGTATCTCTGGATACAAATACTAGCATTTTCCAAAAATTGATATGCAATGCTAGTTGTTCGCAGCTCAGATTGAATGTTTTCAGCCTAGCATGTCAAGAATATTCTAATATTTATGAGCACATTCAGCAGAATTTTGCTGTACAAAATCTTTTCTAGTGCTGCATGGCAGACACTCTGAATACGGTGGCAACTCCATGAGTTGATGACTATATTTAGGTTAGGCAGCCTCCACTTTTATTTTCAGGTTCAACAGATTGAACACTATAAACACATCTGTCTCTCTGTCCTCATCTACAAAGCACAGTATTGAAAAAGAGAGATGTTAATTATTTAATACTGATTGGTTTATTATTTCAGTTTAATTTCTTTACTGTAAACAAGGTATGCTTGGTAAGTATAAGGCAGGGGGACCCAGAGGATAAAACAGTGGCCTGAAAACACTAACCTGCTTATGGCTGTAGGCAGATCAATACTCCCACTCCTGTTGTGCTTTTCCTGCTCATAGGATGGGAGTAATGACCTTTGTTTTGCAGACAGGTTCTATAACTCCACAGATAGAATAGTGCCTAAAGAAGAAATCATTTAGGGGGTTTATTTGAAAACAGTT